CCTGGGGAGGTGGATGGGGCAGAACAATACATGAAAGTAGTTGAGAGTGTAAACTGTGCAGCCAAGCTGCCAAGGAACAAATTGCAGCTTGCTCTTCCCCAGCTGTGTGACCATGGGCAAGTTCCTGTACCTCTCTGTGCTTCTTTTCCTCAACTGCAACAGGGAGCTAATAATACTACATGCTTCATCAGATGGCTGTGAGTATTAAATGTGTCAGTACAGGCTTAGCCCTTTGAGCAGTGTATAGTACATATTAGCCACTTCCCTTTTCACCAGTTCCCTTGTTGCCTTTGCCAGATGTGAATGTCATGCCCAATATGGACTGCAGGCAGCAAACCAAACAGGAGGAGGAGGAGGGCCTTTCCTTACCTTGGGTCCTGAGCTCATGTATGCATTGGAATTTTCAGTAGAAGGAGACCTTCTTGTGATGTGTGGACACCCATCAATATGTGGATTCCACCCCCCAACACTTGTCCATATTTGGACACGTTTTAAAAATCAGTTCCACATTTCAAGCATGTCAAGCTAGATTTTAGCTTTAGTGTCTCCTGCATATTTGGAATTAAAGCCTCTAGAGTCTATTATGCAAATCCATGCAAATAATATGCAAAGAGGCAGTATCCCCAGATTGTGGGGAGCGGGAGTGTGTAGGCCAGCACAAAGGGCCTTGAATGAAAATTTGCATGTGTTAGGGAAGACCCTGGTTGAAGGCCTTAGCTGTTTATTGTGACAGTGTGCATAGCATTTAGTTGTTAACCTTTTGTGCCAAAGAAGAGAGGTAAATGGTAGTCTGATTTCCATATTGAAGGTGACAGTAGAGGTTAGAGGTGGTGTTTGACTAGTACAGCATTGTAGGGATTTTTATTATACAAATGAAAAGTTGCTTTGAAATAGTGACTGTGGTCCAGGCTGAGTCCCCAACCAGTAATGCATTCTTTGACAAGGTTTCAGTGAGCTAAGATCGTGCCATTGCATTCCAGCCTGGGCAATATATAGTTATATATTGCCCTCCTGTTGTTGCCCACTCTGTGAAATGAGGGGATTGGATTCAGTGAAACACTAGATCCCCTCACACTGTAACATCTAAACATCATCTTCCAGGTCAAAGCCCTTGGCACCCAGGGTGGCAGTATCCATTCATTGTGCCAAAGATAGTCCAAAGAAGAAAGGGCTAAGAGGTAACTCTATGGTTCTTCTAGAGAGAACAATAACTTCAGGGGATGCTGATAGCTGGGTGGGGGAAATAGGCAGCAGCAACAACAAGGGCAAACATATTTACTTAGACCATGTATCTTACAGCACCAAGGATTCCAGTCATAGGCTTCCCAGCTAGGAGGATGTTAGTTCCTGGAGTACCAATGACAGGAAAGTCAGGGGAATTTTTTTCTCTGAGTGTTTTGAAGACCAGTCTGTATTAACCCCTCTCTCTGTCTCTGGAGTGCTGCAAAAGTTCTCCTAGAGGCCATGGTGGCTCCTCTCACACCCGAGGGCCTGTCCCTGGGGTCAACACCTCAGACTCACTGGGGACATCGGTGGAGCTGAGTAGGCTGCACCTCAAATTGTCTGCCTGAAAAGAACACTCACCCAGAGGCTCCCATATTCACTGGTCAAGGGCTGCTCTCTCCTAAAGCTAAGGTCTCTCCTAAAGCTTTGTGTTGCATTTGACATTGCTGCCAAAAGACTGCTATGTCCTCGGTCTCTGGTCTTTGATTCTGTCTGACACATCTGGTGCCTGGCCCCAGAGATTCCCCGGGCCCTTAATTTTAAGTCCAGCTGTTGCAGCAAACACCAGCTCGGTGCAGGCAGAACCTGGCAGCCCCTTGGCCCAGGGCTTCTCTGGGCCAGCCAATGGAGACCTGGCATCAGTCAGGAAGCACGGTGATGAGCACCCCAGGAGCAGCCCTTGGCCAGTGAATATGGGAGCCTCTGGGTGAGTGTTCTTTTCAGGCAGACAATTTGAGGTGCAGCCTACTCAGCTCCACTGATGTCCCCAGTGAGTCTGAGGTGCCCACCTGGATCAGCTCATAACCTGCCCTCAGATTGGTTTTCCCTGTTTCACTTGTCTCAGACCCCTACAGCTGACCCCACAGATCACTTTCCAGTATAAACTTCCTGCACACAAGCCCTGTCTCTGTCTCTCCTTTTTCAGAGGATCTCCAACATCAGGCATGTATATGAATTTGCTAGGGCTTCCATGACACAATACCACAGACTGGGTGGCTTAACAACAGAGATGTATTTCCTCACAGTTGAGGAGGATGGAAATCCAAGTTCATGGTGCCTGTAGAGTTGGAGTCCTGACGCCTCTTTCCTTGGCTTGGAGATGGCGCCCTCTAGCTGCTGTGTCCTCACATGGTCATCCCTCTGTGCACACGTGCTCTGGATGTCTATGTGTCCTAACCTCTTCTTTTTAGAATGACACCAGTCAGATCGAATTAGGGCCCACTTTATTAGCCTCATTCTACTTTAATTACCTCTTTGAAGGCCCTATCTCCAAATATAGTCACATTCTGAGGTACTGGGAGTTAGGGCTTCAATCCTTTCAATAGGGATTTTGGGGGTGCACAAGTCAGTCTTTTAATAACACTTAACACTTGTGAGCTAAACAGAGGCTTGAAAGGGAATGTCCCACAAAACATGGAGGTCATCACCACTAGCCCTAGGAATAACTCATCTCTGTGGTGTTAAGCCATGGGCAGGATAGGGGCGCTAGGATAGCCCTGAATGGGTCAGAGCATGGCAGCACGTTAATTCTTCTGGGATGCAACATACTGTCCTTGTTCTCCTTCTGCATCACTGATGGTGGCTGACCAGGATGAGCAGGCACTTTAAAGGCAGCCCCTGTTTCACATACTTCTGCTACTGTGTGACTTTCCACATGTTGCCTAATCTCCCCAAACCTCAATTTCATGTCCCACCAAGTGGTCATATGGATTAAAGTAAGCATGAAAGCCTGGGTCAGGGCAGGTATTCAGTAAACAGCTTTTAGGATTGGCTCAAATACGCAGAAGGTACTGTTGGTGTGTGGTCTAGATCAGAGGTCCCCACCCACTGGGCCGCAGACCAGTACCAGTTAGGAACCAGGCTGCATATCAGGAGGCAAGAGGCCGGCAAGCCAGCGTTAGCGCCACAGCATTCCCACCAGAGCTCTGCCTCCTGTCAGATCAGCGGCAGCATTCGATTCTCCCAGGAGCACAAACTCTGTTGTGAACTGCACATGCAAAGGATGGATCTAAGCTGTGTGCTCCTTATGAGAATCTAATGCCTGCTCATCTGAGTTGGAAGAGTTTCATCCCAAAACCATGCCCCACCACCAACTCCAGTCCATGGAAAAACTGTCTTCCACAAAACCAAGTGGAAGACAGTTTGTCCTTGGTGCCAAAAAGGTTGGGCACCACTAGTCTAGATCATGAATGAAAGTTTAGAAAAAAATATTGTTTAGGGCAAATTTTTGGTCCTAGCGTTGGAGGGTGCTACAGCCTCAGTGCAATCTAAAGTCCCCACAGCCTCCCACAACCCACCAATTTAGAAGTGCAGTGTGAGAAGGACACTGGTCCATCCACCACAAGGCTCCACCACACACCAAATGGTGATCCTGGGCCTTGTGTCAAAGGCATGCCTGGAGATCTCCTCCCCATCTCTGTTTCCTAGAATCTCCCCAGGGCCCTGCCTTCTCCATCAGACGCCTGGGAATCACAGCTGGACTCCTCTTTTGGCCATGTGTCCTGCTGGAATCTGATGGGGGAGAGAGGCTCGCAGAGAGTAATCAGACACGGAGATCTCTCTCCATAATCAAGGGGGGCCTAGCAGAGGTTGAAGGAACTGCCAGAGGCTGACAAAGAAGGGGATTCATGAACAAGGAGATCCTAACAGGTCGGAATCAGGCCTCAGAGGTCACTTGGCTGCTCCTCAGCAGTACAGACAGGCTCTTGCTAATGCATGTGTTGTCAGGGAATGGCTCTTACATCTCATGCTTGCATGAGGAACCATTTTTAAATATAGGCATATGCTGCTGTGACTAATAAAATTCACACATAACTAGAAATGTTTTTTGTCCTTGTGCATTTTCTCAATGAACTGAAACTGCACATTGACTATCATACAAAATCCTTTTTTAAAAAAATGTCCAAAAGGGCTCCTTCTACTCAAAAAGGCTGGGTATCACCAATGACAATTTTCCACAGAGTTCAGCCACATGAATGCCATAGGAAAAGCAGTTAATAACAACCATGACACCAGCTGGCATTTGTAGAAGACACCCTGTTTTCCAGGCTGTGCTAAGTGCTTTTATGGGCTCCAGGTCTGGTTGCCCTTCTCTGGACCCCTGTCCTCTTCTGCCTGTCACTCTTCTGTCACTGAGACATCTTTGTCCTATCTTAGGATTGTTTGTGGATATGTGCGAACTTATCCAGGGTCAGGGAGAGGGTTGAGCCTCCTTGTTTGGTAAATGGCTGTGAAGGGACAGAGGTCTGTTCGTTTTTACCTTTGTGTAGTTTATAAATGGAAGATTCCAAAAAGGGCATAGGAGTTGGACCACACTGCCTCCCAGGCCTTCCTCATTTGGCTTACGGTGGCTCCCACAGGGTTGCAGGCCTCCCCACAGGCAAGCTGGCCTTGACCTCTCCTGGCTGCAGAGGAAGAGGCAGATATAGAGGCCACAAGCCTTCTGCACCCTCAGCCTGTTCTGAGAAGTTGCCCTTGTGGGGAGGGCTGATGGCGTTTAAGAGGCATGTGGGAAAGGACAGTCCTGGCAGGGTGGCTGCTCCGGTCCCCCTGGTGCTGGTGTCTCTTTCCAGGAGGTGCCAGGCAGCACCTACCTAATATACCTGCCCCAGTACCCCAGACAGTTCTGATGCAGTGTGGGGACACTAGAGTGGGCCTCAGGAATGCTCCTGACGTTTCCTGAGTTCCCAGCACTGTCCCTGGCCACAGGTAAGAAAGGCCCAGGCTGTATGCTGTTCCCCAAGTATTTCACCCCTTCTCTCTGTCTCCCTCTCAAGGTTTCCTGCTGATCTTGGCACTGACCGAAGCGCTGGCATTTGCCATCCAGGAACCATCTCCCAGGGAATCTCTTCAGGTCCTCCCTTCAGGCAGTCCCCCAGGAACCATGATGACAGCACCCCACAGCTCTACCAGACACGCTTCTGTGGTGACACTGACCCCCAATCCCAATGGACCCCCCTCACAGGCTTCAGCTCCCATGGCAACACCGACACCCCATGCAGAGGGGCACCCTCCTACGCACACCATCTCCACCATCGCTGCGACAGTAACCACCCCCCATTCTAAAAGCTCCCTACCCACACGGCCCTCTCCAGTGGCCACAGCAACCACATCCTCCCACCCAGAGGGCCGCCCCCCGGGGCAGGCTACTCCCACCATCCTGCTGACAAAGCCACCGAGGGCCACCGGTCGCCCCACCACAGCGCCCCCACGTGCTACCACACGCAGGCCCCCCAGGCCACCAGGCTCCTCCCGAAAAGGGGCTGGTAATTCATCACGCCCTGTCCCACCTGCACCTGGTGGCCACTCCAGGAGTAAGGAAGGACAGCGGGGACGAAACCCAAGCTCCACACCTCTAGGGCAGAAGCGGCCCCTAGGGAAAATCTTCCAGATCTACAAGGGCAACTTCACTGGGTCTGTGGAGCTGGACCCCTCTGCCCTCACCCCCAGGACCCCACTCTGGGGCTACTCCTCTTCACCACAGCCCCAGACAGTGGCTGTCACTACAGCGCCCAGCAATACCTCGTGGGCACCTCCCACCACCTCCCTGGGGCCTGCAGAGGACAAGCCAGGCCTTCGCAGAGTGGCCCAGGGAGGTGGTTCGACCTTCACCAGCCAAGGAGGGACGCCAGATGCCACAGCAGCCTCAGGTGCCCCTGCCAGTCCACAACCTGCCCCAGTGCCTTCTCAGCGCCCCCACCGCGGTGACCCACAGGACGGCCCCAGCCATAGTGACTCTTGGCTTACTGTCACCCCTGGCACCAACAGACCTCCATCTGCCAGCTCTGGGGTCTTCACGGCCGCCACGGGGCCCACCCCAACTGCCTTCGATGCCAGTGTCTCAGCCCCTTCCCAGGGGATTCCTCAGGGAGCATCCACAACCACGCAGGCTCCAACCCATCTCCCCAGGGTCTCAGAAAGCACTATTTCTGGAGCCAAGGAAGAGACTGCAGCCACCTACACCATGACCGACAGGGTGCCCAGTCCTTTCTCCACAGTGGTATCCACAGCCACAGGCAACTTCCTCAACCGCCTGGTTCCTGCCGGGACCTGGAAGCCTGGGACAGCAGGGAACATCTCCCACGTGGCCGAAGGGGACAAACCCCAACACAGAGCCACCATCTGCCTGAGCAAGATGGATATCGCCTGGGTGATCCTGGCCATCAGCGTGCCCATCTCCTCCTGCTGTAAGTGCCACCCTTGCCTACCCAGCCTCTCCCTCTACCACATCACTGACTCATCCCCAGCATTCCTTTGTCCCTGATTTGGGCATCCTTGCCAAATGGGCTACAAAAATCCCCAGAATCTCAGGAAACTAGGAAGCAGGACAGAAATCATAGGTTATCCCTGACCCTAGTCCTCAGCTCTGCCAGACCATGGCTTGAACGCCCACTGATCATAAAGCCACAACTCCCAGGAGCTGGGGAAGGACCTTACAGGCAGTCTAATCCAACCCTGCATTTTGCAGAAACAAAACGCCAAGCTAGCAGTGACATGACTCACCTAGGATCCTAGAATTAGTGAGAGGCAGGGCTGGGCTGAGAGCTCATAGCAGCTGTCTTCCAGCCCAGTGCCCTTGTCATGACACCACTTTGCCTCAAGGTAGCCTGCCAATGCCTCTAGCAACCTGGCACCAAGACACCATAGATGAATGCTGATGCTTCAAAATTTACAGCCTCCAGCTAGCAAACTCCTCACCTTCATCTCCATTCCTCTTTCTTGTGTTTTCTCTCCTTCTGTCTCTCTTCTCTTAAGAAAGAAAAAGAGGTAAAATTCATCTGGTGGGAAGTTCTATAGCCTTGGCAAAAACCTAGTTCTTGCAGCTAAATTAAGGCTTGAGAGTTACGTAAATTCTAGCAACTCTCCACTCCCACCCCACCTTATTTGTTCATAGGTGATGTGAGCGGGATACAGTGTGGACCTCGTCCTTGTTTTTTCCCTCCCAAGGCTACCAGCTCCTCGTTGCTGCTGCCTGACACTGTGAATCAAGAGTCGGCAGGCATTCTCTCTGTTGTCTCCATAAAGAACCTCATACCACCTCTCAGAACTTTAGGGATTTCATGATGTCTTCCTTCACAGACTTGAGCTTTGATTCGTAGTTTCTCTGACAGCCTTTCAGGAATCCTCAGCCACACCTCAACCCAAATGGTTACCATCTGACACTTCCAGACCCTTTCCAGGGATGACCACACTGCCCCACCCTCGTATCCCCACTCCCTGGACAGCCCATTCTCCTGAGCCCCTCCAGGTTGTTGCCCAGCTCCCCTGGGAGCCTGAAGTTTGCCTGCTTGTGATTCCTACTCTATGGTCCTAAGCCATGCCATCTGAAGCCATACAACTCTAGTTTGTCTAGCAATCCCTGAAACATTTGAAATAGCTCTGAAAGGCAGCCTTCTTTTCATCCAAGCTGCTCATCCCCATCCTTCAAGTCATGTTTGTAGGGCTGCATTGCCTGGGCCTGTCTCCCGTCTGCCCCCTCTGGATGGCTTCTACTTTGTCTCCCAAAAGGAAGCACAGTGTTCCACCTGTGTCTGGCTACGGCAGAGGGAGCCGATTCTGGGGAGCCACCCTTTCTTTAGTAGCACTCAGGCAGCCGGCACTGGCCTCAGCTCTACTGGTTGTATTGGGTTCAAGTCATACCTAGGCTTGCCCTGATCTCAAGAGGAACAAAGCCCCGAAGGCTTTGCCCCCACCTTGGGTGGGTAGTGCAGGAGGTTTATGCCTTTAATGTGAACCATTATATCCACTTGGCCTTGTGTTACAAGATCTTTTTAAATCTGGAGTCTAGATTCTTTTCAGGAGCCACCTCTCCCAGCTTTCTGTCTCCCTCAGGTTGATAAGCACAGTAAATTTCCATGTCAGGGCTGGGCGACCTGCTTCTACTGAAGGACCCAATTCAAGAAAAGTAAAGTGTTTGCAAGTTGCACATTTCATTCTTAATGAAAACAGCTTTATGGTATCTCATGGAAACACACATTTAGTCTTAAAACTGTGCTTGCCTACTTCTAAAACAGAAGAATGGTCATGAAAAAATGTAGTATTAGCCAATAAAGTCTTAATAATGGTCGGTCATATCTGAGAAGTAGCTACGGTAGAGACAGCTTTCTAATTTTCCAGTCTTTACATGTGTCTAGGATTCTCTAGATACATGTACTGTGTGCATTACGTTATTAAAGTGCATTCCATTATTTATTTATCATTCCATTCTTAGACCAGCCAGAGAAATAAAAGCAGAAACAAGCAAACACGCTACCCAACACACAGGCACCTCAGGACTCTAGCCATCCTCCACTCCTTACAAGTGGGGAGTAATTCACCAGGTGAAGTGATTGATCCAGGGTCCCAAGCACACATTGAGTCAGCCTAGATCTAGTAGTACAAAATGTGTTTGTTTCAATGCAGGATTTCCTGCATTGTGTGCCCACTGTGTGCCAGACACTGCACCAAGCATTAGAGAATCTGAGATGTGGGCCTCCCTCTTTGTCTGAGCTGGATAGCCTGCACCCCACAGGCTACGCCCACCTGGGTTTTGCAATTCTAAAAGGACTCCTACTTCTCCCCCAGCCCTTCTGTTATGTATAAGGTTGAAATTAGATCAGATCTGCAAAGCTGGAAAGCCCATGGGCTGCCTAAACCATGCATGAAAATGTCAGCCAAGACAGAAGCAAGGACACAGCCTGGAACTGTCACTCAAGGATTCTTCTGGCACCCTGAAAGGAGCCTTCGGGTGCTGGAGATGAAACATAGTACCTTCTAAAGAAAGACACAAGCTTTTAATAAAAGTGGCCTCTGGTAGCCCCTTGGGAACCTCAGACCCCACTTCCTTTGATGCCTGTCTTGCATTTCCACTACACACAAGGAGGCTCTTGCCTCGGCCCTGACTGCCTCCACCTCAGCTCCCTGTCCTGAGTCACGGCCCTAGCTCCTATGGGACCATTGTTAACCCTGTGAAGGCTCCAATGAGAGGGACAGTAAGGTGGAATAATATTCGTCCAGATTCAGAACCCTGTGCTCTCAGGAAATATCCTCATCTATTTGGGCTGTCGTCATAGCCTAGCACCACTCTAGTTATCAGGAAAGCAGACCTCTTCCAGGTCTAAGGGCCGCTTGTTTTGGACCTTCTCAGTGGCTTCATTTATCCTAAAGCTACTCTACAGACCTCAAAGAAGGGTTTCATCTTTTGCCAGTTTGCCAGATATTTCAGGCATTCTGAGTCAGTAGCAAAGTGCATGCATCAGTTTCTTCTCATCTGGCCTTTCATACCAACACTGACCTCTGCCCTACTTCTCACTGAAGCCACCAAAGTCAGAGCTCAGATGGGTGTTGGGCAGGGGTGACCCTCTGCTCCGAATGCAAGTAGGGGAAGAGCAAGGCAGATCCCAGGCCTGCCTAAGGAGGGAGGGTGTGAGTTCACCTGCCCTCCAAGATCACAAGCTGCAACCAGTGGCTGGAAGGATGTATGTGTCCCGGGGCTGAGAAATGCTTTTCCTCTCCTGAGCCCTGCCAGACGCTGTCAGCCACACACATTTTCAGAAGTGCTGAGAACTGAAATTGATTGGATCCAGGCCATACTGTGCTAGGGCAGAGGAGCCAGGTGGCTCCTGAGCTGGTCTCTGCTGCCACCATCAGGACGCACAGAGCCCACCACCTTAGCTAGAAGCCTCCAAGCCTGGCACTGAATTGGTCCGTGCTCACCATTGTCAAGCCTCTGGGTTTTCATGAGCATGTCATTTTGTGGCCCTGGCAGGCTCCTTTGCCCATCTGTCACATGTGATGTCCGCTTTTGAGACTGTCTTCACCCATCCCCTCTGCAAGAAGCTAGGACTGTTTGGAGGGTGAAAAAAAGACTAGCTGCAGATGTTTGTCATCACCAACTCAAGTTCAGCCTGGCCAGAGTGGTAGCCCCTCTCTCAGATGCTAGACACTTGAGGGCACCCTCTGTACCTGGGCCCCAGAGCAATCTGGCCTCCCTCCAGACACTGGATCATTAGTGTGCCATTCAAAGAGATCACATATCATTGTGCCCAGTAGTTGTTCAGTGAATATTAGACTTGAATATATGTGTGTGTCTTTTCGCTCACAGGCCCTGAATGAGTTTATAATTATTATATAAGAAAACCTATGCTGGGCATGGTGACGCACGCCTGTAATCCCAGCACTTTGGGAGGCTGAGGCGGGTGGATCACAAGGTCAACAGATGGAGACCATCCTGGCCAACATGGTGAAACCCCGCCTCTACTAAAAATACAAAAATTAGCTGGGCATGGTGGCATGTGCCTGTAGTCTCAGCTACTTGGAGGTTGAGGTGGGAGAATCACTTGAACCCAGGAGGCAGAGGTTGCAAGGAGCCGAGATCGCACCACTGCACTCCAGCCTGGTGACAGAGCAAGACTCTATCCCCAAAAAAGGAAAATCCAGGTGAGAATGACTCTTGCCAATGAAAAGAACAGAAGAGATTGGGACCAGAAGGCATTATGGCTGGGAAATGTGTCTCCTTGGAGTGTACGGATCAAACAGGGATGGGAGAGCCTCAGGGCAAGGCAGGTATGTCCAGAGGATGTCCCCCGGTCGTTCCAGGGTTAGACCCACATTCTGACAGCTCTTCCCTGTGCATCCCAGTCAGCACCTCTGTTGGAACTAAGCCCCCAAGCCTGGCCTCCCTCCATACCCTGAGGCCTCCCTGCAACCTCCTCCCTCAGCCTCCAAAGGAGGGAAATGGCTGTGCACAGCCCAGGTGCACCCCTTACACTGGCACCCCTGGGTGAATCCGTTCCCTCACTGGTCTCAGGCTTCTCATCTACAAAACAAAGGGCCCAAACTGAAATGTGTCCTCATCGTTAAGCCTGCATGGATCACTAGAGGAAGCCTGGTGTGCTTTTAAGACTTGGCTTGTGGAATCAAACATACCTGCACAAACCCCAGCTCTTGACATTTGTTGGCTGTAGGACTTACACAAGTGACTTAACCATTTATCCAGTGTCTTCCTGTCTGCAAAATGGGACTCCTGTCCACTGTGTTAGTTACTTTAAGATGCAGGCACCAAGATGGGATTAGGCATATAAGAGAATTATTGGGGGAAACACCTGTAAAATGTTCAGGAAGAAATCAAAGTAAGCAGAGGGAGCCTGACTTCAGTGCAGGCCTGACTCCCATGAAAGGAGAGGAGGAGGAAAGAGGATTCAGTATGAAGAGTCTTAGATTGCAGTACTGTTCTAAGAAAGTTTCTGCCAGCCAGTGGGAGTCCTTGAGCCTTTAGAGGGGTTCCATGTCCAGCAGGAGCAGGCCTGCACTAGTACCCCTGTCATGGTCAATCACAGCTGACCAGGGCGTTTTCATGGCTGAAACCTCAGAGACTTGTAAAATCAGAGATGATACATGTTAGGTCTTATCTTAGTGTCTGCCATGGAGAAGGTACTCAGTAAATGGCAGTGATCAAACAACGATGATTATTCATCTTTCTGTTGATAGGATTTGCACTGCCTGATCAAACAGGCCAGGGAAAGAGCAATTCAATAGGTGTTTGAAAAGGTTGAATCCTAAGGGGACCTGCAGGGTTTCATTTCCATTTCTCATCACACAGCAGGTCCCATCACCTGAAAGCATGCCCCTTCCACAAATGTGAACACAGTACTCAAGGCTCCATCTTAAAATCAATGACCCCTCTTCTTCCTGTCACACATCTGACAAGCCATGGATGACTCCCCAGTGACATTTCTGGGAAGCCAAGAGAGCTTAATTCTGAGCTCTGTTTTAAAACTCAAGGAAATTGGGACTCCATAACCTCCTCCAGAGTCTTGGTGGCTACTGCCTCAGGAGAAACAGAGCAGTTGAAACTTTTCAACTAAATGAAAAAGAGAACACCTAATACCTTGTGTTTGCAGAGAGCTGCACAGTTTACAAAACACTTTTACATGTGTCATCTCTATACCCTCCAGTGTTCAGGACAGTGTAGGACAGTGGATATCAACTTGAAGATCATCAAGACCTGGCTTCACATTGCAGGTTGGGTGATCAAGATCCATGCTATTAGTTTCTATGACCTTCAGTTACCTGTTCTGAAAATGGGAAGAGTAACAGTGCCTTCCTCAGGCAGTTATCATGTGGTCTAAATAAGCTTTAAAGTGCCTGGATCAGTGCTGGGAATATAGTAGAGACCCTGTAAGTCTGACTTGTACTTTTCATTCTTGGATGAAAGGCGAGACCACTGAAATAATGAGGTTTCCAACCCCTAAGGGGAGCTTTGGCCTGAATCACCCAACAGTCATGTAACACAGTTTTTCTTTCTAGGTCTCTCTTGTAGAGGATGTTGGGAGAACAAGAAGAGACCTCTCATTAATTAAGCATCCACTGCATGTCAGACATTGTGTTTGGTATTTTGCATCCATGGTCTCTTTAATTCTTATTACAAGCCTATGAAGTCCATCTTAATCAGAGAGATGAAGTGACTTTCCAGATGGAGAACATGGCAGAGTCACAACTTGAACATAGGTCTTTCTGTACCCAGGCTGGCTTCCAGTAAGTGAATGAAATGATGTGTGAGAAGCACTGGAAACTCTGTGAGAGAAATATAATCAGGCCATGCGAGGGAAAGAAAGCGTGCAGCAGAACTTTCCGTTCTGACTCCCAGGCCTTCCCGCAGTACAGGATCTCTGCATCTGCATTTTAAAAACATGGGCTGTTAGAGCACTGGACTGGGAGTTGGAGAATTTGGACTCTGCAACCTCTACCAGCCCAGGTTAGCAGCATGTTCACCTCTCTAGGTTTCCATGCCCTGCCTTGTAGAATAAGAATGTAGGCTGGGGGAAAGGGCTGATTTGGTTCGGCATCTACTGTGTACCAGGGACAATTTGAAGTGCTGGCAGATGTATGACTACATTTAATCTTCCCAAGGAAGCTGAGGCTGGGAGAGGTTACGTAACTTAAGTCTTGCAAGTAATAGATTATCACCTAAATTCTAATTCTAAATTCTGTGTCTCTCTTGCCATATTGACTAGGCCTAAGATGGCATCTGTCACTTTCATTCTGTTTGCTTGTAACCACTCAATAGTTCAGAGGCACAAATATCTTTTTACCTTAGAGAAGTATGCAAACTATACAAATCTGACTCACAGATACATTTTCCCCCACCAGCCTGGGTTTTTTGTCTATGGCAATGTTTTATGGAGTATGATGGGATGTTCCCCAACAGGCCGATAATTGAAGAGTTGTTCTGCTTGTCCCAACATAGGAAATGTCCCTGTCAATTGCTCTAATTCTACCAGAACTGAGCTAGAGCTGAGGAAACAGCACTTTTCCCACTTCCCAGTTGGTTCCCTCTTTATAACTTGTGTCGCACCAGCTAGAATTCCCCCAGGTATTTCACCATCCCAGCTGCAGGAGCAGAGTTAAAGGTAGTGACAATGAAGAACAGAGACACCGGAGAAGGGGAGAGGAGATCTGGGGTCTTGTCCCAGCTCTGCCACTCACATACCTGTGACTTGTGGCAAGTTGGCCAGCACTTTAGGCCACAGTGTCTCCTCTGTAGAATAAGGAGGTGGCCTAAATTAGGAAGTTTCAAGCTGAGCACCACCGCCCCCTCCTTGCCCCTTTCCTCTTCAACCATCTGAAGAAAAGGTTCTTTGGAAGGAAGGGAGGGAAAAAGAAAAGAGACTCACAAGATTTGAAAAATTCTGTACCAGCTAATCTCTAAAATCCCTCTTAGCTCAAACATTCAGAAATCTCCTCTGTGTTTTAAAGGTTTCTTTGCAAAGGATCTGGAAGAATGAAAAGCAAATTAGAAGTCTTTTTGATCAAAGCAGATCCGATAAAGTAGAAACTTACCCTATCTCCTAACCTTCTACAGAGACCTTTTCAGAGGTTGAGAGGCCAGCAAGGCTGGCAGCTGGAAAGGAAGCTACAGAATTTCCCAGGCAGCCCCCAGGGCCCTGGGCTCTGAGGTTCTCGCCCTGTACACATGCCAGCTTTTGTAGCTGCCCCACACCCTGGCACAAACCCACCCCTGACATTGGCCAGACCCCCAGGATGCTGCGGATAGAGCTGACCCTCTGCCACCCCCTGGTGCCAGGCTCTCTAGACAGCTCAGCGTGGGCCCCTGACTCTCCTGCACATGGTTGGCACCACCAGGATGTTGGCTGTGGCCCTTGGTTTCAGCTCCTCTCATCCCCAGAGGCTCTGGTGATGATGAACCTGGGGCAAGATACACTCAGGCCTCACTTCATGGCTTCTCCCCAAGAGGGCCTCTGTCACCCTTGTCCTTGTGTTACCCTTCTGCCATGTGAATCTAAATAGGCCTCCCCACCTCTCTGACCTCAGAAGCCTTCCCTGTTCACAAGCCACTCAGTTTACACCTGGTTAATCAGCCAAATCCTCCTGGGCTCTGCAAGTCTCAGGGATGAACAGACAGGGTCACATGTCACACTGTGCTCAGTCAAGCTGTGTGGAGCCCAATTCAGGCCATCTGTGCAGGTGGGCTTTTGCGTCAGCCTAAGGTGGGAATCAGCTGGTTAAGAGCATAGACTGACTGGGCATGGTGGCTCACACCTGTAATCCCAGCACTTTGGGAGGCAGAGGCTGGTGGATCACTTGAGGTCAGGAGTTCAAGATCAGCCTGACCAACTTGGAGAAACTCCATCCATCTATACTAAAAATACAAAAATAGCCAAACGTGGTGGGGGGTACCTGTAATCCCAGCTACTCAGGAGGCTGAGGCAGGAGAATCACTTGAACCCAGGAAGCAGAGGTTGCAGTGAACCGAGATCACACCACTGCACTCCAGCCTGGGCGATGGAGTGAGACTGCATCATCTGGTTCCCAGCTCCAGCTGGGACCTCTCCTCACCAGTCCAGTGGTGCAACTCAGGCACCATCCTTGCAGCCTCCCTCCCCTCTGACTTGCAGTCTCTCCACAGCTGTCCTGCTGACAGTGTGCTGCATGAAGAGGAAGAAGAAGACTGCCAACCCAGAGAACAACCTGAGCTACTGGAACAATGCCATCACCATGGACTACTTCAACAGGCATGCTGTGGAGCTGCCCAGGGAGATCCAGTCCCTGGAAACCTCTGAGGTAATGAGCTTGGAAGTACTGGCCCCACTGCAGGGAAACCAGGCCCAAAGACAGCCATGAGGCATCTGCTCCTTTCTGAGTGCCTTGCTCCTTAAGGTCCTGTGGACCAGCAGCATCAGTAACACCCAAGAGGTTGTGGGCTCTGCCCCGCCCCTCCTGAACCAGGATCTGTGTTTTAGCAAGAATCACCAGGTGCTTTCTGCACATTAAATTTTGGAAGCACTGTTCCTGGGACTTTTGGTTTCTGGGAACAAGTGAACAAATACTCCGTGAGAACCTGTTTTGTGCCAAGCATTCCCAGGGGACTATGAAGATGAGAGCTTGGTCCCAAGGGGCTGAGGTTCTGAGATGTGGCTGGGGGACAAACCCCAGCATCACCCAAAAGCAAAGCCAATTGGGGAAGCACAAGACGAGTTATGGAAAAGGAGCTGTGGAAACCCAGGGAGGCAAGCCTTCCCAGTGGAGATGCTAGGAAGGATCAGTGGATTTCAGCAGGCATTCCAGCAAAGGAAGTAGCCTGGGGAGAGGTAGGGACACGTGCTAGATCTGAAAGGAGAGAAAACACTGTCAGGGGGTGTTTTCCCAAGACACCTGGCTAGTCAGTGAGAAAGCCAAGCTTTGAACCCAGGACTCTAACCACAGAATTCACGCTCTTTCCTTTCTCACACGGAGGGTGGAGTAGAGGCCGCCGTGGAATAGGAAGGAAGGATAAAGGCCAGATTAGACACAGCCTTGAATAGGGTGTTATGGCATTGGGACTCTAGTTTGGGGCAGCAGAGAATCACTGAAAGTTTTGATCTTTGGGTGACCCAGTTTTAGAAGGGTTATGCCAATGGCCTGGTGAAAACACCCTATTTATGATCAGTGAATGGATAAGGAAAAGAAAAAAGAAAAAAAATAATGACTCGATGGATGAGTAAATGGATGGAATGACACAGAAAGACAGACTAAAAATAGGTAGCTCAACTAGTATGTGATCGAGATAGCCCAGGAAAAAGATAACAGACATCTGAGTAAGGCAGTGAGAGCTGAGAAGAGTTCTTGCAGAGGTACAGCCCCCACCTTCCCGTGTAGGTCCATTCCCCAGGGTGAGCTTTTGTAAACGTAATTGTGGTCACATTGCTCCCATGCTTAAAACCTTCCCATTTCTCTCAAGTTAAAGTTCAGAGTCTTGTATAGGACCTGCAAGGTAGACCTAACCCAGCCCAATTTTCCAGCCTCACATCACACCCCTCTCCCCCTCTTCTGCTAAGCTCCAGCCATGCTGGAATTCATTTTGTTCCTTCCCAGCACCAAGCACATCACACTCACTCCAGGTGTGTGCATGAGCTGACGCCTCTCCTGCACCGTCTGCAGTCTCCCCAGCACCCCCTTCTCTTGCTCACCTTAGTGACTCCAACTCACCCTTCAGGGCCCAGTCTAAATGTCAATTCCTCCTCGAGGCCTTCCTTAACCTGCCAGGTTGGGTTCTGCTCTCTTGTCACGTGGTCTCAGCTCCCTATGCTTTTTCATTGTGACACCTTTTAGAACCGTGATGCGCACGCTACTGATCTGATATTAGCTTAGTGCCTCTCTCCCCCACCTGAGCAACCAGGTGCTTCCACATTGCTGAACCCAGGAGCCGATTCCGAGCACTCATCCTGCTCCATGTGCAGCGACACTGGCCGTCACATGGCAGCAGAGGCCCTGCCCTCTCAGGCTCTCCCCAGCTCCCGTTCCTGATTCCTTGTCCTTTCCCCAACCTCTGTTCACTGGAGTGCCCCATCTCCATCCTGCCACCGCATCTCTTCTCTTTCTTTTTTTTTTTTTTTTGGCATGATCTTGGCTCACTGCAACCTCCACCTCCCAGGTTCAATTGATTCTCCTGCCTCAGACTCCTGAGTAGCTGGGACTACAAGCACACGCCACCAGGCCAGGCTAATTTTTGTATTCTTAGTAGAGACAGGGTTTCACCATGTTGGTCAGGCTGGTCTTGAACTCCTGACCTCAAGTGACCCACCCACCTCAGCCTCCCAAAGTGCTGGGATTACAGGCCTGAGCCGCCATGACCTGCCACTTCTCTTCTCTTTCTACTTAGTCCCATGACTTAAATACCATCTCTGCACTATAGAGTACAAACGTCTACTGTAGCCTTGACGTCTCCCCTGACCCCAGACTCATGTACACAGCTACCTGCTGCTGCATAAATAGGCACTCAAACTCCACACACCCAAGACTGAACCCTTGATTTCCCCCTCCTGCGGCTTCTCTTTACATAGGTGGTACTGCCAGCTGCCCTTCCTTCTTGTATACCCTACTTCCAGTCTGTCAGAAAATTTTATTGATACCTCATCTCCTTCGGGTCTCTGTTCAAATGCCACCTCCTCTGGGAAACCCTCCCTCCCTCACTGCTCTGTATTATTTAGATCCCCAACCTCATTCTGTTTCCTCTTCCTTGCTTTATTTGTCTTCAGAGCACTTCTTACTGCTTGGCATTGCATCCTTCTCTCTCTGCTGATTGGTGTGTGGTCTGCCTCTCCTGCTGCCTGAGGCAGAAGCATGTTTGCTGTGCTCACTGCTCTATTCCCAGCACCTAGAGCAGTGCCTGGCACGTGGTAGGTTCTTAGTAAACGTTTATCAAGCAAATGAACTATAAATGTTGTTCACCACAATTTACCCATCACCCAGCCAGAGCCTAACACACAGTATATGCCCAAGAGAAATTTTTAACCAGAGGACAAACGAGGGGCAGCTTCATTGCAGCAGTGACCTTTAGTGTGGCCTGTGCACGTTTTGCATGGAAAAAGTGTTCCTGAGATCGGCTATAGTAAGTGGGGAAAAGTGTGTAACTTGACAACAGGGCTGGTCCTACTTTAGGGATAGGCTGTGAACCCCTGAGCCCTAAATTTCTCATATTCTCTTTGCAAATTGGTAAATGAAAACCAAAGCCAAAAATACACGTGAACGCACTCTAGAAAATGCCCTTGCTTTTAGAACATCCCAGTTAGTCACTTGGCACAGAGCACGAGGGCTGCCATCCAACACAAGCCAGAGGCTCTGGTAGCAAGGGGTGCCCCACCAGTCATGATCTCCAGACCAGGACCAGCAAGCACAAAGCTCAGCTTGGCTTCAGAGTGGACTGGATTCTGCTGTTTCCCTCCCAGCAAGCAGTTCCTCTCGTTCTGCTTTATTTAGAGTAATATTACAGTTTGTTCCAGTTCTCCGGGCTCACACTATTTGAGGGCAAATGCAGGCAGGCTGGGACCAGGATGAAGCCAGCTGGGCACACACAGGCGCGCGTGCGCGCGCGCGCGCACACACACACACACACACACACACACACACACACACACACACTACCAACCATCTCTAGAGCAATTGTAAGGTACTAGTTCCTATTCCACCATGTTCCATGACCCTGGGACATGCACTCACCGCCTGCCCTTTAGCTGCTAACTTTGGAGACTGCCAAATGCTTTGCCTGAGCAAGTTCCTCTGATGCCATGCTCCACCTTCTGTGTTGATGCAGGCAGCAAAACACAGGTCTAGGGCTGTACAGGCAAAATTGTGATGCCCAAAAGGTGCTTGGAAACTTCCATTCTTTTTTCTCTTCCCCCCCCCCCCCCTCCCTGCTTTATCTCCTCCCTTCTTTTCTCCCTCCCCATCTCCTCCTCCTTTTTTTTCTTCTCCTTTGCCTTGGTTGTTTCCTAAATAACTCTCTCTTTTTTATGCAGCAAAGCATACCCACATGGTTTTGCCTTTGGTGAATACTTGCTTTGTGAAAGCTATAAAATGACAAGCCTAATCCAGCCTCCACAGTTGAACCCAAAAGCATGGTGCAGGAAAAGGATTTTTGTCTCTCTTTGAGGTGCTCCACTATTTTTCTTAGATGGCTGGCCCCATGTCCACACTTAGATAAGTGTTCAACTAATTCCAGACACTGAAGGAGGTTTTTGCCTTCTGAAAAGACATTTGATCAACAATGCCATTTCTTCCCTTAGGATTCGTAGAGCAGTAAGTACTCCTCAGAAAGTATCTATTACACATGTTTTGTTTAAAAATAAACTTAATTGCTTTGCAAAATGATCAGAAAAGAGGGAAAAAAGCAAAAAGCAAATAATAATAATAATAATAAACTTAAGAGAATTAATTGTGGCTACTTAAGATATTTCTAACCAAGTCAGGCATGAGCCAGTATACGTAGGCCTGTAGTTGAGTCTTTGCCCTGAAATGGCTTGAAGGTTCTGAGTCGTTAGCTATTTTAATTGGAACAAGCTATGACTTTCTTTTTTCCTTTCTCTAAATTAGTACCAGGCCTGAATCCAAGCACAGCCATTTAGTGACCCATAAATGTTTGCTGTCCTTAGTAGCTAAAACCAAAACCCTGCCAAACCCATACAGATTACCCTCTGGGCAGTGGATTGCCTATTTCTAGGCTTTTCTGCTCCTGCAGTTGAACATACAGACTGAAATTTTCATTTATCATGTATTGTGCAGTCACACAGAAATGCAGATCCATTCAGCTCAGCATTGCTAGTGCTATAAGAAATGGGGCAATGATTCTGACCAGAGTCTGGAAGGCCTCAGAATGGGGAAGGACTTGACCCTTGAAGCCTCTTGACAGGCCTGTTAGATCCTGATAGGTGGGTAGCAGGAAGGGAAAGAGGTGAGTGAGTCTACATATATTCAGGAAGGAGAAGCAGAGTTTCCCAGAAGTCAGTGAGAAAGAGGCAGGAAGTATAGTCTGGGGTCCATGTGGACCAAGTTTCACTACTAGTGCAGTGAGCCATGCACTGTATGTGTGTTATGCATGGCAAGCCCCCTCAGACTTTGACAAGAAAAGTAGTACCACCTCTGGCAACCTGGGATTGGGGTAATTCCAGAAGCAGGAAACATTTTTTGGGAGCTGCTATAAAAATCTGAAAGAACAGCATAAAAAAATACGCACACACATACACACACACAAACTAATTAAAAGAATAGCAAAGAGGGCTCTATGCCTCAGCATTATCAGTGGGGATGATGAAAATGTGTGCCAAGCCCTCAGTGCTGAAATAAATGTTCCCATGTGTAGTTTTAAGAACGGGCCACCCTATGCCTTCTCCAGCTCACTCCATCTCCTTGCTCTCTCTCCCCAGGACCAGCTTTCAGAGCCCCGTTCCCCAGCCAATGGCGACTACAGAGATACTGGGATGGTCCTTGTTAACCCCTTCTGTCAAGAAACACTGTTTGTGGGAAACGATCATGTATCTGAGATCTAACTGCAGCAGGCTTCGCTTTGCTATTCCCTATTTTTCGTCTCTAAATTATAAATATACAAATATATATATTATAAATATAACCTTTGTGTAACCCTGACTTAATGAGAAACATTTTCAGCTTTCTTTTCCTATGAATTGTCAACATCTTTTTTACAAGTGTGGTTTAAAAAAAAATTTACAGAATGATCTGTGGCTTTATAAAATAAAGGTATTTCTAAGCAAAGCAGTTGCATTGATTGCTTCTCTTAATAACTATTTTTGAGCACCTGGGGATCCCAGGAACCCTAGTCAAGTGAGGTAAGAGACTGACCTCCTGTAGAAGCTCAGTGTTACAGTGGTCAAGTGCACAGTTCTTTGAGTGATTCTAAAGCTCTGGTTCCTCTTGATTTGGCGTGGCCCATTTCCTCCCTCTCATACGCACACCTGTAAAGGGAACTGGGCCACCTGGGGGAAGATGGCAGACTCATGCACAGGGCAGGAAAAGGGAACATCTCATCACCCCCAAGGATGGGGCCCCTGGAGCCTCACGACACCACCATTGGATGTCATGTTTAAAAGTTGTAGACAGCAGACAGAAGCATGGAGTCCTTGGGAATCCATGGAGGACATCAAGGCATCCCAAGGCCACATCCCCCTAACATTGCTTCCACTGCTAACAACAAGACTGCCTTTCCCTGGTGGGAAAATGCTCCCTTCATGCCCGTTCCTGCATCCCCTCCAACGCTCAATCTGCATTAAACACCCGTGCCTTTCTCTTGGAGAGGGTTTAGATGCAGATCCCAGCCTTGGAGCTTTAAAATGCTTGCCCTTCTTCAAGGATCAAATGTTTATTGGGGTTTAGCTTTGTTTTCTCAAAAGGCCACGGTATTGTGCCCCTAAGGAACACGTTTATCTAAGAAGCTTTGAGGTAGCAGAGCTATGATTTTTGAAACCTTCCTCCTGCAATCTTTAAAAAAAAAAAAAAAAAAAAGATTGCCAAGCAAGTCATTTCCGAGAAGACATCATTACACTCCTACTTGCCCCTGCAAACCTGCTCGAAGCACCAGCCGGTGGACTTGCCACGCAGCTCGCAGCTTCCGCTGCTCGCCTCGTACCCCACTGGCTGGCTGCCTCACCGTGCCGTGTCCAGCGTGGCCAACAGGGTCAGACCCTCAGAGATGCCCAAGAGGCTGCCAGAGGTGGCTGCTTCTCTATTTTTTCCTGATCGTGGCTGAGAGAGATGATTACTGCTTTGACACTTTCTTTCTCTAAAATAAAACTAGTTTGATAGTATATTTTGAATATAGATGCTCTTATAGTTGGATTGGGAATTGAACTCGAATGTTGATTCATATGTTTGTGTTGTTGCTGTGGTCTTTTTATCATGACTTTTTTCTTTCTGCGTTTTCCTTAAAAAAAAAGATGGCCTTCAAAAGTGTGTTCTTAGTGTTGTATAAACCTACGTCACATGAGTTCAGTTGTTGTCTCTCTTCAAAGACTCTTCAACCCACAAAGAAGCAGGTTAAATGTTTCTCTAAGTTTAATTTTCTAGCGTGTTGTTGTCTGACCTTTTTAACCTTACCATAATATTTCTGTTAACTGTTACATTTAATATACCAATGTGTGTGAGTATACATGGAGAAAAATCTGTAAAGTAAAATTTATATATAATATATGTAATCCAAGATACATATGTTATATATACGTATGTGGATGTATGACTTATTTTTCCTTATCCACAGATTTCGGCTACCATGGATATATAAATAAACTTATTTTGTTAGCCAGAGGATTCCGTTGCTAATGCATTTTGCATTCTTTTCATTTTAAGATAAGTTCTGTCTTCCTTAAGCAGTACCAATGCCACTTTACGTCCATCCGTATTTTTTAATCTGATTTAACAGGTGAGTTTTATGTACATGACGAGCTAATAGGATTAGCAATTTATCATTTGATAAAATAAATCTTTTTGAACATGTTTGCAATTTCTCCAAACTAGAGTCATCTTTCATCAGGTCTTTGGAGACAGTGGTGTCAATTCCCCCACCATTCTCCCCATCTCCAGGGCTGAGTGGATTTATATAGTAAATATCTTTGGCCCAGAGGTGTCTGAAGTTAACCTGGCCATTGAGTGTTACCATTCTGTAGAGAATAACAATGCCTAAACATGACACATTTGTGCATAACTTAATCAGTAGCTTGAACCTTTCGTTCAGCCTTAGACAGTACATCTTGGAATTCGCAATAACACAGATCCTCAGAACCAAGTCAGTGTCACCTGTACAGGAGGCTGTTACTTTAACACAGCCTCTCATGCCCCTTCTGGGTGTATCAGGGCTGGTGTTCACAGCATTAATGCTACATCTGAATAAACAAGGACACTACTGGCTTTTACTTAATCCAATTGGTTCTCTCATCTGTTCATCAAATAGCCAACATTGATATTTATAAAATACCTCCTAGATCATGTCAAATGGACAAAGTGGAAGACAACAAAGAAAGGAATGGTTGGAGCGTCCTGGGCAGCAAGAAGGAAGTACACACAGATCTTCTAGTAGTAGTAGACCAGGTTTTTTAACTTAACCTGTGTGACCTTGTGTAGGTACCCTGCTCTCTGGGTGGTGGGCAACATGGAGGCTCTTAAGTAAGTCACTGGCCCAGAGGTTGGAAGAGGCTGTCTCCCCCCAGCTCTGCTACTTCCTGGACCTGGGACCTTGGACAAATCATTGCAGCTCTCAGGGTCCTCCTCATGTAAGAAGATAGTGGCCAACCATAGGACACGTGATATGGTACTTTGGAGCTGTGAAGTGCACAGCCCATATGGCAGTACTTGTCAACCCTGGACCTCCTTCCTCCTAAGGTTGGGTTGAGAATTCCATGAAGTAAACTATAGGATTCATGCACACAGCAGGCTGGATTTGGTACTCACTAGAGGTTGGCTCCCTTCTCCTTCTCTCACCTGAGGTACATTCCTACATTACAGCATCTGGAAAAATATCCAGCTCTGGGGTTTGGTGACCTGGTTTCTCCAGGCTAAAACTTAAATACAGAGATTTTTAGGTCCATGTTGTCATCCTGGACCTTGAGGAACCCTTCTGATCCTAGAGAAGTGATTGAGGTGTGACCCTTGATGGCTTAGTGGATGCCAAGGTCAAAAATTAAAACCCAGGGGTGCCATCATACCTAACTTGAAGCACCCTTGGAGAGCTTGCCAGAAAACACTCTCTGTTGTTTTTACGTATCAGTTTTCCAACAGATGGAGAAGCAGAGTTGGAGAGAATGGTCAGAACATAATGTGTGGGGCCTGAATTTGCCCAAGGTCCTTATCTAGTACATCAGAGAGTTAGAGGCTCAGGCCGATGTTCAGAAAGTGAGGTCCAGAGGGAGGAAGTATCCTGGCCAACAACAAGCAGCTGACGAACAGAGAATCTGAGGACAGAGTTGAGGAAGGAAGGAGAGAGACGAGGGAAGGACCTGAAGCTGCTGCCAGGACTGAGAGAAGGGGGAAGGAAACCACAGGCAGGGGCTTTTCTCTTGGGTCCCTGGGGCTGCATCCTGCCGTTTTTCATCCTCTACTGTCTGTGTAGACATGTGTTCACATTCACATGTACCAGCACACATAGGGGTGTAGAAAGCACTGAAATTAGCCCTGAAATAGCTAGATTGAGTTCTAGCTTGTAATGTGAGGTCTGGGGCAAGTGATCACTTGTGATCTGAGGTCGTTGAGCCTCAGTTTATTCGTCTGTAAAATGGGGTTGCCTGATGCCTGCCTTGCCCACTCTTAGGTAGTAAAGTGCACAAACCCAGATGATCTACCCCCACAGCCTGCACTGATCCAGCCTTCCCCACCAGCAGCAGAAAAATCTAGGAGGTTGGGCACATGACCCTACATCAAAGAATGCATGAGTGCCTCTCTGCACGCAGCCCTGGCCAGTGCCCATTTCTCTTTCAGCTCAGTGAATGATGGAAACTCATGGAAGACAGCAGACAAAGCAGCCCCGGGGATAGGGGAGATTCCAGAGAGGCCCGTGACCAGGCCACAGGGATGCTGGGGCTGTAAACCAAAAGCCACTGGACTCTGTAAACCCACTTGGGCACCACAGAGGCAGAAGGGGTGATGAGTGAGAGGCGAGTAGTAGTGGACTTGCCCACCAGTACCAGCTCCAGCATGCCCCTCCAGAGGCGCAGGGCATCCTTCAGGGGGCTGCGGTCATCATCCTCCCTGGATAGCCCCTCAGCCTCCAGGACCAATGCCGTGAGTGGCCTTGTCCGAGCACCTGGGGTCTATGTAGGAACAGCACCCAGTGGGTGCATAGGTGGCCTGGGTGCCCGTGTGACCCGCCGGGCCCTCGGCATCAGCAGTGTCTTCCTTCAGGGCCTGCGGAGCTCAGGCCTGGCCACGATGCCAGCTCCAGGTTTGGAGCGTGACCATCGTGCTGTTGAGGACCTAGGGGGCTGCCTGGTGGAATATATGGCCAAAGTGCATGCCCTTGAGCAAGTCAGTCAGGAACTGGAAACACAACTTCGGATGCACCTGGAGAGCAAGGCCACGCGCTCGGGAAACTGGGGTGCCCTTCGGGCCTCCTGGGCCAGCAGCTGCCAGCAGGTAAGTGTCCAGGCTGTGCCAAGGGCTTTGCAGAAGGCTGGGAGGGGCTGCTGAAGGCAGGGGGTAGGGTTTTTCTGGTCTTTCTCAGGCCAGAAAAACTGACCATAACCCCCTGCACTTTCACACTTAAAATGCTAATGATAACAACAATGCTTTTTACCGAGGTTTACTAGGAGCCCACGCTAGCCCCCATATGTGTGCTATTCACTATCTTCTGTAACCTTCAAAGAAATGCTATGCAGTGGATCGTTCATTGATTACATTTTTCAGATGAGAAACTGAGGCATGTAATTTGCCCAAGACTTCAAAGCTAGTAGAGGGACGAAGATGAGATGTGAACCTGAATTTTTGTGTCTCCAAAGTTGCATTTGCCCCTTTACCCTGGACTGCCTCAGTGACCTTTACTGTTGAGAAAGGATTTTTACAGCCGTTATCCCATCAAATACCATTAGCTGGATGTGGTATTAAAAACATGAATAAATGGAGGTGTGTTCCCGTATCCACCTACAACCATGCTGTTCAATAGAAATCGGCACATCGGTAACTGACAAGTTTCTATTGCCCACAGTAAAAAAAGTAAAAAGAAACAGGTGAAGTTAATATTACAGCTTGTTTAACTCTATATGTCCAGAGTGTTATTTCAACACGTAATCAATGCAAAATATATTAATGAGATCATTTACATTGAAGTAAAACTTTCTGCATGATGGAAATATTAATGTGTCTGCACTGTCCAATCTGGCAGCCACTGGCCATATATAGCTATCAAGCACTTGAAATGTGGCTGAGACTGAGGAATTGTATTTTTATTTTATCTAATTTTCATTACTTTAAATGTAAATAGCCACAGGTAGCTAGTGGCTATCTTACTGGACAGGAAGGATGCCCAGGTTTTATCTTTCTCCCTTGCTTGGTCAGCCCTGCTTTCCCACTCTCCAGGCTAATTTCTGCAGAGCCTGGAGCTCATCCATCATGTCTGGCCTGTAGCCTGTGGTTCTAATGCTGGGACTCCAGCCAGCATTACACTTCTCAGCTGGTCTCTCTGTGGATGGCTGGCTTCTCTCCTCCCCTTTCTCTCCAGGTGCTGGCCTTGGGATCCCTCTGAGCAAAATCAGTCTCTAACCCGCCAGGGACTACCAACTCATACCCTTGGGCCCCTAGAGTCCAGCATGCAGCCTCCCAAGAGGAGGTCACAAAATTTTATTTGTGTGTAGCTGGGGGGATGCTGAGCAGGTACACACAGGGACTCCCCATTTGCCCCTCCTGCCTCCTGCTTCATCCCAGGATGCTTCTCCTGCACTGCTGTCAGTGCCCACTGACAGCACAGAGCACATGATGAACAGCACTCTCCTCTCAGGCTCTCCCCCTGGTGCTACTGTTCCGCTTGCCTCCATCTGGGCTGCTCCATCTTTGAACAGTCCAGGCCCTTAACGCCTGTCAAATCAAAGAGGCAGTCATTCTCCAGGATTCTTCACAACTGTCCTGTTTCCAAATATTGTGCCGTAACAACCACCAGAACATCCCTGGATACTCTGTCAGCATCTGCTGGACAATCGCTTGCACTCAGGTGCCACTCAGACCTGTCAGGAGAAATCAGGTGTCCCGATTTCTAGGTTAAAAAGTAGGGCCACAAAACTTAGTTTATACTCTGTAGATACTGACTTGCTCTGGCTCCAGATAGCTACAAGAGCTGTTGCAACTTACCGATTTCTCTGGGCCTCAGTTTCATTATCTACAAAATGGGTATAATCATGCTTGGATATTCTAGCAAATCCATAGATAAATAAGATCCCTGGCTCCTGCCTACAAGCAGAGTACAGACTAGGAAGCTCTAAAATCCTATGAGAGCAGCACAGCTATGCGCCAAGACACGCACCCTCTGTCATTGAGGGTCAGGCTCCCACATGGCTCACTTTCCTCTTAAGTGACTATAAATGAGATCCTGGGTATGAATAAAGGTCTCTTTTTCTTCTTTTAAAAAAAAAATGGACTTGAAGATAGAATTAGACCAATTGATAAAATGGAGTTATTATTTCCCTTTTTTTTTTTTTTTTTAAATGGAGTCTTCTACTGTCACACAGGCTGGAGTGCAATGGCAGGATCTTGGCTCACTGCAACCTCTGCCTCTCGGGTTCAAGCAATTCTGCTGCCTCAACCCCAAGTCGCTGGGATGACAGGTGCCTGCC